AGTTGAGAGGGAGGAGTGATGAGCAACGGGGTTAAAACTCCACTCTGGGAAAACCCACAGAAACAGCCAATCTGAACAAGTGGGAGCTCACAGACTCCAGACTGACACTGGGGAAACTAAATAAGACCGAACCAGGCCCCTTGAACGTGGGTGTCAGTTGTAGGGCTTGGGTAGTCTATGGGGCCTCTTGAAGTGGAACCAGTATTTATCCCTAGTACATGAACAGACTTTTGGAGCCCATTCCTTGTGGAGAGATACTGTCTCAGCCTAGATACAGGGGGGAGGGCTTTGGTCCTGCCCCAAATGATGTGGCAGACTTTGATGATTTCCCCATGGGAGGACTCACCCTCTCTGAGGAGTAGATGGAGGTAGGATGGGGAGATGGCAGGGGTAATGGGAGGACAGGAGGAAGAGGGAACTGGGATTGGTATGTAAAATAAGATAGTTTTAGTTTAAATGAAATAATAATAAAAAGAAATTGCAAATGAATACATTGAATAAAAATTAAAATAAATAAATAAATAAATAAGAAAACTGACAGCACAGGATGAAGAAGAGGAGGTGGGACTGGGGAGGATGGCAGGACTTTATAAAACTGCCAGGCAATGGATGCTCTGAACAAACAGTGGAGGACCACCCAGGGAGTGCATGAAATAACATTTTCATTCTCACAGTAGCTTATGAAAAGCAAGTCTAGAAAATTTCATTCATTCATACATTTCTGAAACCATTCAGCAAATCATTATGGAGCATCTACTGTTTATCAAACAGTCAACCAAGGTTGCAAACAAAAATGACTAAACAGTATCAACGGGCATATCTCATTGTGAATCCAAGTGTTACTAGCATCCCTCCGAAATGAATTTTTTTTAAATTTGAGGATTATTCACAGTGAATTCCATAATGTGAAGCATATCACATCATTAATATTTCCAAATAAATGGTTTTCTGATATAATTGAATGCAAAATATGAATACTAAATAGCAGCATCAGTGCCTGTTTCTAGTTGTTTTCACACTAATTTCATGCTGAAAAACCACACGAAGACTGGCAATTTTGTATTTGATAAATGCCTAATAAATGAGAAGAGGTTAACGTTCTGAAACTAATGTTTTTTGAGAAAAACAAGAAACAAATACTAAACTCCTAAGCTTCTCTAGGAAGAAAAAGCCCTAAATATCTGCCAAAGAGGATCTTCACTTTCAGTCTAAAATGAACATTTGAATTAAAATTTTCTATGACTCCATGAAAATTAATTTCTTTACAAACATATTGCTGGAAAAGAAAGCACACCTAGATATTGTGTAAGCAAACCAAACTGAAACTCTTCACACTGCGTGCCTGGAAATTAATTTACTGCCACAAGATGAGTAAGGGATTAGAATTTAAAAAAGGCTTCAACACCACTTAGAATAGTTCTGAGAAGCAAAGATGGCCTTTCTACTACTCCTAAAAGCATTTCATAAAATAAACACAACAACAACAACAAAATTTCATTGTGGAAGAATAGATACAAGTTTTAGAATTCATATATGTGCTGTTTTAATGACCTCAGTAAAACTATAAATGCTGTTTGATGTGGAGAAAGCTTAACACAAGGAAATATATATATTTTAAAAGATATTACTATTGGTAGTAGTAGCATGCCAGCCCTCAAGAAAGATCTTTTAAAAAGTAGTATTAGCTACAGAGATAATAATCTCTAAATTATAAAATATGGATAAAAATTTCCCTGAAGAAATTAGTTTAAGCTTATTAATGTATCTAACAAATATTATCAAATTAAAGTTTAACAACATTCTACGATAGGCATGATTTTTCCTATCCCGTAGTTGTTAAAACCAAAACTGAAACTATGAATATTCAGACAAGAAGCTAGGGTAGAATTCAAACACAGGTCCTTAGACTCTCATGTTCAGGTTCAAAGGCAGATTCTGGGCATGAGTAAGCATAGCTGAGGTTCTTTCTGTATATCCAAGAGAGTTATTATTTGCCCTTTATCTTCCCAGAGTAAGTCTTGTGAGGTAGAGAATAGTTTCATATAGCAGAAGTAAAAACAAAAGTAACCCTTTACATGAAAACTTGAGAGTTCTATTTTTTTTTAACAAAACGTAACTTAAATCAGAGAAAAAAGCCTCAGCTGAATATCAACAGACAGCAACTACATTTTGTCTTCATTCTTTTCCCTTTTCCTTTTCTCCTTCCTTCTTCCCTCCCTTCCTTCCTCTTTTTCTTCCTTCCTTTCATTTTTGTCCCTAAAATATTTCTTTTAAATTGAGATTTCAGTATACAGACATAAGAAGACCCATAACAAAATGGCAGTAAGAATTCACTAAAGGCAGATGCTCTGAAAAACACCACTGTTTACACTGGAAACACCCAGCTAAAGCTGTTTTTGTGGAGTAAGATGAACAGCTTCTATTAATGCTAATTGAAATCCTCATATCCACACGTACCATGCATAAAATTCACTTCTACAGTTATTCTTTCCACCTCTAAATTGCAGTAGATCCAACGCCAGAGTATTAACTTTTTAATTTGAGCATCCATGCATGCAAATTGATACTTTTTTGGTGATTATGTTGACAAATTCAATACAGGTGAAATCCCACTGTTGGTAAAATGGATAAAGTTTTCAGTGTGACCATTCAAAAACAATGAAAACTGAGTATCTTTTTTTAAAGAATCCAATTAAAATGAAATCTATAGTTTCTAAATATTATTGTACTTCAATAACAGAATTTTTATTGAATGTGGCACTAATATATGCCTTCAAGATGTCTCACACTTTAGCTCACATAAACAAATTTAAAGGAGCAGTATAATTTTCCCCATGTAAACAATTCACATGATTCCTCTGTCTCTATATAAATATGAATATATCTATTTACATATATAGAGAGATTATTAAATATACTTTTTGGTGCATATTAGACATATTTCTGGCAAGTGTCTAAATACATGGAACAAAGGTACAATAGTCTTCCTCAAGTTTAATTTATATAGTCTGGATGAAGTATTGTGTTAGTTTTTTGAATTCTAAGTATCATTACTTTGAAGTACTATGACTATCAGTGAATTTTAGACTGTTATTCCATACAAAAAATAATATAAAATCTTTAGTTCAATAAAACTTGTGGTATGTTATTGCCCCCTGTATTCTTGAATTACAAAGCATAGTAAACTACAGTTTTGTTTTCACTAGAATTTTCTTCGTGTGTTAGTGGAATAAAACAAAGAGGCTACATATTATTCATATACAGTGTTATCACAGAAAAATACAAATTTTCACTTAAGAACATAGCTGTGAGATATGGACTGCACAGAATTCTCCAAATTATTGATTGCTTTTGGGTTCTCAACTGAGAAGGTCACTGAGTCTAAGAGCCTTTCCAGCATGTGGTGCAGCTGGTAATGTAGTTTAGGAGACTTATTGTTTAATTTTTTTCAAGAGATGCTAGAATTTGAGATGCTGCATACTAAGGTTTCCTTTGGTAGAAAACATAATTCAACATAATATCAACATTACTATTTGTGGAAAGACATGAAGACACTCTGATGGAAGCTTCTTAGTGTTTAGAGAAGATGCAAACCAATTGGTCAGTTTCTTTGAGGAAGAGGTGGAAAGCCATTATTTATTTGTGAGTTTAATGAAAGTCTATTGAGCCTTATTTCTGTATACACAATATGTTATAATAATGTCTGAAAGGAAATAACAATCAGACATGTACATAATACAAAGGTGAGTGAAGCAGCTTGTTGGACATAATGAATCTAGTTTTTATGAGTATTGTGCCTAATGGGAAAATTAGAGATTACAGTGGCATGCACATGAAAGTATGGTACATAATTCAGAAAATGAGAAATAGTAACAACTAAACTCTTTTATTTATTATTTTATTCAAGACAGTGATTCTATGTGTAGCCCTGGCTGTCTAGGAGACCTGACTGACCTCAACATCAGTTCTGCCTCTGCCTCCTGAGTGCTGGGAATAGAGGCATGTGCTACCACCATCCAGCAACAATGAAATTCTAATTGAAATAAATAATTTATTTTTAATTACTATATTACTACCAAGATTCAGACACTTACATCTGTGTTTTCCATTATACTTTAACTTGGACAGCAGTATTATGACATGTTACAAAATTAAACTTTTACTAACTTTTTAATTTTTTTAATTTACTTTTGAGATAATGTCACATAATGAGGCCTAGGCTTGCCTGAATTCAACATTACACAGACTGGCCTTGAACTCTTGGCAATCTTCCTATTTCAACCTCCCAAGTTCTGAGCTTACAGGTAGGAGCCACCATGCCCAGAAAAAAATCTAGTAATGATAAAAATGAAAATCATTAAAGATTTTACAATCAGAAGGGGGACCATTTAAATAATTGAAATTAAAGATATATTCTCAGGCTTATGCATGACAGTGTTTTGAATAAATATCATTTACTCAAAAATGTGAGTCATGCACTTATGAGTTACTAAGTAGGTTTTCTGAGACATACATACTTTCAAATAATCCATACTTCCCTAAGGGTTGGACTTATGTAATGGACTTTGTAGGGTAAAGCTGTTGGTACACAGCTCCAGCAACATTATGCCAAGTTAACCTTTTGATATATTCCAAATGGGAAAAAAGCATTCTCAAAAACATCCGACAATTAATGTGAAAGGACAGCATGTAATCCTAGCAGAATTTTTATGTATTTCATTATACAAAGAAGTAAATATGTGATAAAGGCAAATATAATTCAAATAAATAGGATGATGTTTGAGGCAAACTATGTAAAGGACAGAGTCCCTTTCTCATAGATCCATGTTCAGAGAGAGAGAGAGAGAGAGAGAACATTTCCAAAATGAAAGGACAGTGAATATTAGGTTTTAGATACCTAGGCCAGAAGATTGCATAGGGAATTGAAGAAAATCTCAACAGTCATCTTATTGAGAACAAATGGTAGCTTTCCCTAGAATGCTACCAAAAATCAAACTTACCTGATCTACTATCCAGAGGTCCAAAGTCCAAAGAGTATTTCACAACATGGTAGTTATTCCACACATAAAGCAGATTGTCCCTGGGGTTGTAATCCACAGCTGCTATGTACTGGTAGGAATTGGGAAAGGGTACATCCACCAGGCTATCCTTGCTTTGGTCCGTGTTGTAAATGTAGTCAATCTTATTACCGGTGGCCTCATTGTCATCATCCTCATATACAGATTTGACCACATACAGAATCCCACAAATCATAAAGGCATTGGAAGCTGACCTTTTATCATAGGCCGTGTCCCACGTCCCCTCAATCCGTAGGGTATAAGGATTTAACTGGCTAATGACAATTTTGCCATTGTTCTGTTCTGTTGCATAGATTACCCATAATCCATTTTCATCCACTGCCAAGTCTATGTCAGATTTACCACCCCATCGGTATGGGGATGTGTCATGGTAATTGGCATTTGCTATGATTGCCTCTCCACTCTTTATCCTAGTCCGTAAATCAAACTTTACTATGTTTCTGGTACGCTCCTTATTGAAGAACAGGGCACCATCATATACTACAAATCCAGTGCCATCCACTCTGTGAGGCAGCTTGTAGGTAGTTGTTGGCCTTCCAGCAATGAAGTCATCTTTGGATGAATACTCTGTCAGGGTGTCAGTTCTGTAGGGGGTCCAGGGCATATAATATATCTTGTCAGAAGCCTGTAGAGGGTCTTTGCACCATGCCCCAGACTGGTGGTCAGATTCAAACAAGTGTTCACTCTGGTACACTCCTTTTAGCAGTCCAGGACAAAGAAAAACTGTCAGGAGGGAAAGTTATAATAGTAAATATATTAATTGACTCTCTTTTCATCTGTTCTTATTTTCAGCAAACAGAATGCAACTCCAACAAGCAATACCCACCACCACTTATTGTGGCATTGTTGATTGTTATACAAAGCACTCTTCCACATTAGTTTTGGATTTTTTGCCGCCAAACAATGTGATGTCACTTGTTGGAAAAAATGTTAGCCTTTTTAGAAGCAGCTGTGCTATTCTGAGTTTTACCTTTGCAAACACATATTTTGATGCATGTCTGAAGTGTAGCATATGTCTATGAGTTCTATAGACATATAACAAAGTACCAAGTTCACACATGATCCTTTTATTAGTTCATTGAAGAACTGTATCTCTTTGAAAATGATAACCCATTGTTTCCACTCTGATGAAATTGGCTGTTTAATAATTATTTATCATTAAGAAATTGATAGCCCACATTATTATTATCTATATAAAGAAAAGATCTGCAACACAGGCTACTGAATCATCTAGCAAAAAAAAAAAAAAAAAAAAAAAAAGGCTCTCAAAGCTGCTGCAACACACACAGAGCATGCAACCCATTCAATTAAAGATGAGTGATGGATGGATACTGGAAGGAAAAAGAGAAAGGGAGAGGAAGAAAGGAAAGGAAGAGAAGAAAAGAAGAAGAAAAGGTGAAAGGTTACAGTAAAGAACCCAGGATCTAGATTTTAATCAGTTAAAAACGTCCTGTTAAGTACAGTATTACTGGAACTTAAAAACATGTACCTCTTACTGTTACATGAGAAAAGCATTGAAAAAAAAAAAAAACAAGATTACTTGCTCTATTATGCTGCTCATACTTCAGAAGGAAAATGGGCAGGAATCGTCTGATTCTTTTTGTTGTTTAGTATGCCTCACTGGAGAACAATGTAAGTATGGTGGTAAGAAGCTTGGCAGGTTCATCTGAAATGAAGGGGCTACAAAGCAACGTTTCCCAAAGGGTGGTTCTTGAAGCGCCTGTGGCACAGCTGGATGCAGCACATAAGGAAAAAGGAGACCTGAGGCCATATCCAGTTATAACACTAGATAGTGAATAAAACTATGGCAGGGATTATAATATCTTAAGTCCATTGATGAATCTCTAAATCAGAAGTAGGGTGAGTGAACAAGTTGCACAATTTGATTCCGGGAGCCTTCCCATGAAGCCACTTTGGATGGCTGTGTTCTGTCTGCTGAGCCTGCTCTGGGAAGCGTTGCTTGCATATATTTGCAAGGCAAACCCACTGAAAAATAACCATGCAGTCCGCTGTTAGGTTTGAGATGACTAGAATTTTCCTGGGTGAAAAAAAAAAAAAAGGAGGAAGCCACAAGGAATTGTATGCTGACCTGCTTTTTAATGAATAAAGGATTGTACTTTGGTGTTAGTGATTAGCTCCTTAGTAGTAACTAGAAACACAGATCCCCTGGAAAATAGTCTAGGAGGAACTTTAGCTATGCATTATAGATGGCTGAAATAAAAGGCCATTCCTAGCATATCAAAGTCTTAATTTTAAAGAAATGGAAAGTTTTGTGGCAAAAGTTGACCTTCAAATTGTGCCAAGAGAAGGACCACTATAAATTTGTAGACAAAAGCAATTCCATGGTTATCAAACATAGGAGTTTTAATATGAAAACTTGTACTATAAACATGAGTTACTCTCTAACTCAAAATTGTACATAACCTTATACTACAATTAATAATGGGTCCATGGTTACTAACATTAGATGAGATTGTGTGCATTCACAGTGGTTTGGCCACAGATACTAATGGCATTCAGGATAATTAAGAAGAGTATCCTCGCCCCTTTCTCGAGTAGTTAGGAGTTAATGTAGAAGGAGAAACACAGTAGATCTAAGGGAAATTAGGAGAAAACAAGGAACAAATCTAAAGAAATCATTATTTACCATGCCCATTGGATTTCTCTCTGCTAGTTTCAAATAAAAAGGAATAAAATATAGTGTTGATGATATTATAATATTAATAATCTGTGTTAGGTAAAAGAATCAAACCAGCACTGGTCAGTAAAACAGATTAAAGTGAAGTTGAGCAGCAGAAGTAGTCAATAAATTTGCATAAAATAAGAATTAATAACAAAATTATTTAACTAAATGTTAAACTGTTAAATAACTTAGCCTATAAATAGTATATAATTTATGAAAGGTATTTAATTACCTTTTTGTTCCACTTCTATTGGAGAGAGAGAAGTAAAGAGAGAAAGGAGAAAAGAGAATAGATTAATGGTACGGTATTGGCCAAGCACTTTTTATTCACCTTTTCCAAACTGAAAGTAAATAATACATTGCAGTCATGCTTGCTTAATTGAACACTATGTTGTTTTAAAAACATTTCACCAAAATAAATACTTTAAAAATAATCATAAGCTTTAAAATACAGCAGAAACATCAAAAATTACTGTAAAAAATAATATGGAGAATGCAATAACCATAACAAGAGCAGCAGTAGTTACATTTGGAAGTGAGGTCAGCAAGTTAATGTACTGGAACTTTCAAACAATTTGGTTAGTTTCACTTACAAATACTATAGCAAATTCCACTATTTAGCAGAATAGCTCTGCTTGTTTTGCAGCTCACAGAGGTGACCTGTTCAGAATAAGCTCTTCTGCAACTCACTTCCTAGAACCACAGACTCTCCGGATAGCTCTTCAGACTTATGGTGAGGAATACAACTTGTGAAGTTACAAGCAAATGAAGGAGGATGCTGCCCTGAGTAAAGTAATGCACTTAAAATCCTTACTGAACAAGCTTCTCTTCTACCTCTCAATATATGACACTAAGATGGAAAAAATATTCCCATAAAAAACTTCATTCAGATTATTAATGCAAATAATAAGCTCCTGTCTCTGGCTTTCTCTGAAATTCTTTGTTTATTTTTGAGTTTTTATTTAAATTAGAAACAACCTTGTTTTACATGTCAATACCAGTTCCCTCTCCCTCCCCTCCTCCCCTGCCCCCCTGCTCCCCTATCCCATCCCCTTTCTGTTCCCTAGGGAGGGTGAAGCCTTCCATGGGGGATCTTAAAAGTCTGTCATATCCTTTGGAGTAGGGCCTAGACCCTCCACCATGTGTCTAGGCTGAGAGAGTATCTCTCTATGAGGAATGGTCTCCAAAAGCCCATTCATATACTAGGGATAAATACTGATCCACTACCAGAGGCCCCATAGATTGCCCAGACCTCTTCATTGACACCCACATTCAAGGGATCCATATCTTAACAGAGTCTCCATACTCTCAGAACAGGAGATTCTGAAACATGCATATGTAGCTCTTACTATGATTTTTAAAGGTTCTTATAAAAATGGGAAATCTAACCTATCCATGAAGCATTTATTGGCACCTTCATTACCTTGTAAATATGTATAATTCGATTTGCCTACATCTTAATGAGCAAAAGGGGCCAACCTGAAAAAGGCAAAGATTTGAGGGAAGAATGGGTTTATAACCAAATCATGAAAATTCACAGAGTCCAACTGTTGTAAATCTAAGGCAATTTCAATAGAAAGGGTTAAATTGATGTTTATCACATGCAAGTAAACTGAAACCTTCACTGATGTTTCAAAAACAAACAATAAATACTGGGTTTGGGTAATTATATTTGGATGCAATTTCCATGCATTGACATAAATTCTCATGGTTTTTGTTACTTTCAAAATAAAACTTGTAAACGACTTTGAAAATATAGTATCACACAGTAGAAGAAAATATGTCATGTATACACGCATACACACATAGACATACACATATACATCATATATATATATATATATAAAAAGTTGCATAGTATTAATTTACAAATCTAATTTTCAACAATATTTCCATAATTCTTTCAGAACATCTATTACTTTATTGTCACAATCCTCACTTATTCTTATTAAGTGACTACTAGACTGTGGGTCAGTAAGGTCCCATGGAAAGCCTCATCTAGGAGAGGTCCAGCTGAAGGTGAGAGGTGGTAGTGCCAGAGCCTGCCAACTTTCAGGATGAGCTCATTCTGTTGTCATGGGAATAAGGCCTGTCCTGGAAGAATCTTCTCCCACAGCTACAACATGGGATGTGAGGGCAAGAAAAACAAGATGCACAAGAATGCAGTTCAGCCCACCATGTCTGTTTTGGGATAATTCAAATTTGCTTAAGTCCGAGCTGCAGGAGAAGACAGAGAACAAAAAGCCAGTGGCTGGGGGGCCCAGACTCCTGCTGCCACACTCTTGGGGCCCTTAGTCAATTAACTTTTGTATTTTGGTTACTGGGCAAATATGTTTGCTAACTCAGCTTGGCAATCCTATGCCTGCTTCAGATCAACAGGCCTTTATTACAGTTCATTTCAAAGCACTGAATTACATACCCTTTAATTATGGTTTAAAAACAAATCACTTTACTTAAAAGATGCACTTCAAGTTTAGACTAAAAACATAAATATATTCAATCTAACAATGAGAGGAAGTACAATTGGCAACTTAAAATTGATTTAATTGAGAACTTCAAAGCTTGAACTTGATGCTCATTACAATAAAGACTGAGCTTGGGAAGGGGGAGTTGACATCTTTCAATTCCTAATCTAAGAAGGATTTCCACCTAAAAGGTTCCTTCTCATACCACTTTGAAAATTACTCAAGAAATAACATTTGTTTTCTAAAATACCAGAACTATATGACTATATGTTTCATTCACATAAAAAGTATTCCTTAGAATAAATTATGTAATGTATTTGTTAGCAATAGATGCTTCAAATATTTATTTTCATTTATTTATATGTGTTTTTGTGTGTGTCTCCACTTTCCATCTGTCTGTCCATCTGTCTGTCTGTTTGCATGTGTATGTTGGTGCTGGAAAAGGCCATTGGAATCTCTGGAGCTGGAGTTACATACGGTGGTGAGCGGCTTGCTGTGGGTGCTGGGAATCAAACAGGGTGCTCTGAAAGAGGATTAAACCTTGTTAACAGTGAGGTGTCTCCCCAGCCCCATGG